AAAAGGGACCAGTGTGAGCTAAAGATCTAAGGGTCTTCAGAATTTCACACCATCCTGGAGGAATTAAGATCACCAATAGTAACTGCACTCAAGTTTCCCACCAGCCTTATAGGCCAGACACTTAAAATCAGATGTAAAGAAAGCAAATTCATGTGACATTCTTCAGGCCCCTGGATAGTGGAACAGGATTCCTGCCTGCTACCTTAGCAGGAGAAAGGGTTATTTGTCTTAAGACTGCGAAGTGTCTGAAAAACCTAAGCACCTGCCCACTAAAGAAAGAACAGAGCAGCTAGTCGGGAGGTGTTCCTAGGACCCAGGATCAGCCTGTTCAAATCCATCACCAATGCTTGAAGAATAGCTCTCACCTCCCCAGGGGGCAGCATTTGGTCTGCTGAAGGCCAGGGTCCATGGAACAAACATGCAGTCAAAGTAATCACACTAGAGCAGTGGTTCTCAACCTTGGCTGCACATTAGAATCACCTGGGAATCTTTTTAAAATCCTGATTTCTGGGCCCCATCCTCCGGAAATTCTGTTTCTTTGTTATGGGGTGGGGCCACAACATTAGTAACAAAGAAACAGAATTTCCAGAGGATGAGGCCCAGAAATCAGGATTTTAAAAAGATTCCCAGGTGATTCTAATGTGCAGCCAAGGTTGAGAACCACTGCAGTAGAGGATGTTTGGGAGCACCAACCTCAGCACCTAACCTTCCTCAGCCACAGCTCCATTGCTTCAAGTCCTCAGATTTTTCAGATTTCAATACACAAACAGTGAACCTAGGTGTTTGTAGTTCGTATTTGATGTTTCTCAGGTGTGTTCAGTGAAACTACCTGGGTCAGAATCACCTGGGGAGCTTGACGACGTGTATCCCTGCCTTCTGCCCCAGAACTATTGAATCAGAGCCTCTGGAAATGAGCACAGGGGAAGGGTATCAGCATTTTTAACAAGTATCTTAGATGATTCTGATAGCCTTTGAATTCCGAGACCCTCTTGGGTAGGGTTGGGGGATGGGCAACATTTTGACAATAAGCATGAGGGGTAGGTGCCCATATCCTGGGGTGGCAAACCACAAGGGAATTGCCTCCTGTGGAGATATGGCTCCCACATGATATGAAGGGATTGTGTGGACGAGTTTATATGTAGTTTTCAGGGAAGAGAGGTCTTAACCCCCATGGAGTCTCTATAGCAGGGGTCCTCAAACTTTTTAAACAGGGGGCCAGTTCACTGTCCCTCAGACCGTTGGAGGGCCGGACTATAGTTTAAAAAAAACTATGAACAAATTTCTATGCACACTGCACATATCTTATTTTGAAGTAAAAAACCAAAACGGGAACAAATGCAATATTTGTATTTGCATGTGGCCCGCGGGCCATAGTTTGAGGACCCCTGGACTAGAGTGTGGTAGGAGCAATGTGGCATTAGCATCACCCTAGACCTCGTCAGAAATGCTGACTCCCAGGCCTCACCCAGATCTGTGGACTTGGAATTTGCATCTTGACCCAATCTCCCCCTTATAATTCTCTTGCAAGTAAAAGTTTGAAACGCACTGGCCTAAGGCTGGTGGCAACACTGAATGATTGTTTGTGTTGTAGCAGATGTCCCTCTCCAGGGGCTCCGGTAGATCTAGGAGCCCAGGTCTGCTCTTCTGTGTGGTCTATGGCTCAGTCAGCCTGGGCCTCACACATGGGCAACCAGGACCATCCCCTTGTCCCTTTGCTTGGGGCTCTCAGCCTCCAAGGGAGGCCAGCATGGGGGCTGCAGAGGCCCCCTCAGCTGCAGCATCGCCCTGGTTCTTCTTCCTGGGCAACTGGCAGCTGTGCCTCTCTGTCCTGCAGAAGGGACAGGCAGCTGCCGGGGCTGTCACCCTGAAGAGGCAGAACTGAGAGGTAAAATGGGACAAATGAGTTCAATGCAGCCCTACCCCTTTCGTTGCAAACTATGTAGGTAAGAGAAACAAGGGGGAAGCCGGGCTTCATCTCTCTGCGCTCTCCCTGCAGTCTCCCACTGAGTCTGCTCCTTCTGAAGTCAGTCTTGGCTGCCCTCCCGCTGCTCAGCACTCACCCACACTGTCCTTCCTTTTCAACAGCGCCTGCCAGGAGACTTGTTACTCTGTTCCCAATATGTGGCTGGCCAGATGCCAGGGTCTGGCTGCCGACAGACCGGCTAACTACTTAGCCAGAGTGATGGCTTCCCTCTCCATAAGCACAGCTGACATCTCCTCTCTGCCTCACTGGCTGTACATCTTGATCTGGGCATGGCTGGGGGCTGCTCTGGAAGTGTGTTTCAAAGCTTTCTTGGTTCCATTCTCCGTGTTACCACTTTCCTACCTGCTCTCTCCCTTCTTTTTCTGTCTTTATTTATCTCTGATTCTTCTGTTTTTATTTCTCCCATACCACCCCTCAATCCATTGTTCCCATCTATACATAGATAGACCTACTTCAGTATCACATAGCTCTAAGACAGCGGTTCTCAACCTGTGGGTCGCGACCCTTTGGGGGTCGAACGGCCCTTTCACAGGGGTCGCCTAAGACCATCAGAAAACACAAATATAATTACATATTGTTTTTGTGATTAATCACTATGCTTTAATTGTGTTCAATTTGTAACAATGAAATTGGGGGTCACCGCAACATGAGGAACTGTATTAAAGGGTCACAGCATTAGGAAGGTTGAGAACCACTGCTCTAAGATATCCTCCTTTAACCTCATCTACCTTGCGAGGTACTGCCCTAGTTTCCTCTCCCCCAACAGCATAACTTCTTGGAACAATTGTCATCTCATATTATTTCCCATTCCTCCTTTTCATTTGTGCCTTTACTCTCTGCAACTTGCCTTCTATCCAGACTGCTCCACCCAAATGGCTCTTACAAAGCACCCCTCGCACCCCATGTGGTAAATTCTAGTCATTCCAGTCTTTCTGTCCTCGAGTGCTCAGCAGAATTGACACAGTAACACATCCTCAGTCCTGAAACACGCTCACCTCCTGTCTCCCAAGGCATCGCAGACTCTCTGCTCTCTTCTTAGCTCCTTCTTGGCTGCCTCTGACGCTTCCGTACAACCCATAAATGCGGCAAGTTATTTGCACTCAGCTCTGGGCCCTCTTTTCTTTTTCTGAAATCTGGAGCCCAAATGATTTCATTATAAAGTCTTTTTTTTTTTTCTAAAGCATCTCAATGTGGACTGAGATTCATTTGTGAAGAACAAACATAAATATTTAACTTCAGACCATGATAAGTGCTTTAAAGGAAAAATTTAAATGGAGAGACAGTCTAGTGGAGAGCCTAATTTATAATGATTTATACTGATGGAGGGGGAAGGGGCCTCTCTGAGGAAGTGACATTTCAGCTGAGACCTAAATGATGAATGGAAGTTGGGCAGGTGCAGAGTCAAGGGAAGCAAAGGCAAACAAAACAAAAGTAGCAAAGGCTACCTGATGACATCCATATTTTTACCTCCAACCCATACCTATTCTCTGTGCTCTAGACTGCCTATACTTTCTGGACATTTCCATGTGGTTTTCTCTAAGGTATCTGAAACGTATTATGTCCACAACAGAAGTTTGGATTTCCTCACATGTACTTGTTTTCTCCCTAGACTTCCCTGTTTTAGTAAATGGCTTCATTTTCCACTATTTGCTCAAATAGAAGCCTGAGTGTTCTTGCTGACCCCTTACTTTCCAAACCCACTCCAAAGGCAAGACCTGTGCTTTAAACATCTCTGGAAGCAAAAAATGAGAATTGAAGACACAGTTAATAAGAGCAAAGGCAATAGCTACCAGGATCAATGTACAGTCACACGACTCTCTTCAAGGTACACTCTGCTTTGAGTGTTTTAGCTTACATCCTAAGGGGCAACAGCACTTCTGTTTATGTTACACTGTATGTAACCAAAAAACAAGAATCAAGCAATTCTGGTTTTAGATTTCACTCTGAATCTCCTGTACCTTGCTTACCTGATAGTGAAATTTACAGACAACACTAGCCTAACACCCTGATGTCTAGAACACAAGCAAGTATGATAGGAATGAAAAGATTATAAGTGAGTTCTTAAGAAATGGAAGCTCTGATCAGATGATGACCAACTTTATTACTTCTCTTCCAAGGAACTGAGTTGAACCTTTGTTTTTAAGTTGTTTTTTTCTCATTGTTATTACTTTTGCATTCCTGAATGTTCTGGGGATTTGAAAGAATTGAACTAGACAGATTTTAAATATCCAAAGGTTGATGGATCAATGTGGTTCCACCTTTGACCACCTAGAGGAGCGGGCACCTTTGCGTTCTGTCCCAGTAAAAGCGAAGCAAACCATTGTACCTATTCCACTTTCCCTCTTCAGAATTCTGAAACTAAATACAGGCTCTTTGAAATAGTGTAGATCTGATATTGAAATATGATATTTATTTCCTGGGTTTAGGTAGGAAATGAACTTATGAATTGTCTAGTCTTAAAGGTAAATGACTTATACAATTTAAAGAACATTCTAATCATCAGTAATGCATTCCAAATTACAAGAACAATAATACTAAATAACAAAAGACATAAAATAGCTACAAATCTATTGGCTAAGATAATTATAAAAGTAGTCTAGAACATAAAATATGACCAAAACTATATAATTTCTATAAATAATAATTTCAATATGTTTAAGTGATGAGGCAAAGAGCTGATCTTTAATATGGAATAGTAATTCTAATTTGTGTTCCTAAGTTTGTAGCAAGCAAATTAAGTCCTCTTGAATGTCTTTATATTCACAAATGAGAAATGTATGATAATGTATCACATCACATATATTCTGGCTCTGCTCTTAATAATGAGTATGACTAATTCTTTAAAACCATTCTTTTTGGAAGGTCTAGTGTTAGAAAGAGTGGTTTCTGTTAATGAGGACAGTAAGAGTGCTCTAGGGTGATATTTGTAATAACATGCACCAGTTTAGTGGTGACACCTACCTAATCTGTTGCCAACCAAAGAAATTTAGGACTGAGTAATAGTCTACTATTTAAGCATATTTGAAAATATTTTATTTTGGACATAAATGGCTTCCCCTACCTTCCTGCACCAACATATGAAAAATTTGGGCAAAGATTCTTTTCATGCCAGCAAGTTGACTTCTCAAGAAAAACAACACACAAAACAGTTTAATTGTTAGAATAGTACTGGCTCCAATTAAAATGTAATATCCATAGTTTTCAGTTTTCATCCACTTAGGGAAACAATAGCTAATGAAAAACAATCTCAAAGGAAAAAAAGAAAAGCAATAAGAAAGCCCCATTCAGAATGGAGCCAAGTCATCTGGAATCGGGTTGGGTTCATGTTGGGTGGGTAGCTCTCCCAAATGCTGCCTTTTCATCTCCTTTTGCACTCCATAACTCCACTGGGGGCTGGAAACTGAGGGAAAGTGGGAATTGTGCCCAGGGACTAAGCACTGAAAGAATCTGTAACATCAAGTATAGCAAAAGAAAAACCCTCAGTATTCATGCTGAGAAAATTTCGAAGTGAGCCACAACTACTGATCTTCTACCAAAACAGCTCAAGTCTTATTTCCCAAGACTTATTCTTAAAAAAAATAAAAATTATAAAATGATGAGGTACAAGGTACACCCACCAGATGCCAGTAAATCTGAAATTAGTAAAAAGTCCTGCTGTTCTCTTCTGTGTCTGCCCTGCCTCAAGAGGTGACTCACTCAAATTCACACTGGGCCCAATCACAGAGGAGGCAGTGGCTAAAAGTGACGAAGCACTTTAGGAAATAAGCACTCTAGTTTCTCAAATGATGGGCCTGATGACATTTTCACATCTTGGGAACCACCTCACTGTGGCAGAGCATCGCCCAAAATCCCCCTCAGAGCTGGTGTGGGGCAGACACAAGAGGCTCCCCAGCTTGGAAAGGACTTTAAGAGGCTAATTGTCTACAGAGATGAATGGTTACAGTCACTGGGCTCTCGAGATGGAATGCAGCTTATGAAGCAGAGCATTATTATTCCCAAACCCACATTCTGCAGAGGAAGTGAAACTTCTCCAACTGGTTGGTGAGCTTCTCAGTTGTTTACCTCCGGGCTTCATTTCCAAGGGGAGCTTATTTCCTAGGCCTCACTGGCCAAGGGGGAAAAAATGTCAAAGGTCCAAGTCACAAAGAGGTATTTGATTTTGGGTACCACCTGGTTCCCAAGATGACAACACTCAGAGCTGAGAGAGGCTGCTTGGGTGATTCCTGCCTGGGGTCTGAACTTTCTGGCCCAGGGTAAAGGCACGCCTCCCCCCGGGCTTCTGAAAGCATAGACCTGCTAGCTTCAAGTCTACTGTTCATTCGATGATCACTCAGGGCAGGTTCCCATCACATAAAGGAATTTGACGGAAGTCTTTTCTTTGTTCTCCTTTACGTGAGAGTTCTAACCCCAAAGTCCAGGACATGGAGAAAGGTCTTCCTTCTTCGGAACCTCTTTGTTTTGTTTTGTTTTAATATTTTTTTATTGATCTCAGAGAGGAAGAGAGAGATAGAAACACCAGTGATGAAAGAGAATCATTGATCGACTGCCTCCTGCAGACCGCCACTGGGGATCAAGCTGAGACTCAGGGAATGAGCCCTGACCCAGAATCAAACTGTGACCTCTTGGTTCATAAAGCCATGCCCATCAGGATTTGGATCCTCTTTAGAGGCAAGCTCTGGTGATCGTTCAGATGTCCCAGGTCCCTGGACCAGGCAAGCAGGTTAGTTCTGGCTGCTGCCCTCACTGTAAACAGGTATTTAGGAGCCCCTTTCGTGACAATACTTGTAGTTAAATACAGGCATCTCATTCAAACAGGAAATTCACATTTTTCACATTCTTTAGCCAGAACTAACATGCTATAGAAGCAGCAGTGCAGATTAGGAATTTGTGGAATGTGAACGTTCTTTATATACTTTTCCCTGTGGAGAACAATGCTACTTTCTCCATCCTCTTCAGCCCCAGGTGTGTCAATGGCCCACCTTCCAGAGCCTGTCACCTGGTAACTCACTGTTCACCTGGTAACAGCTCTGAAAGGACTAGAACAGGGGTGGGCAAACTTTTTGACTCGAGGGCCACAATGGGTTCTTAAACTGGACCGGAAGGCCGGAACAAAAGCATGGATGGAGTGTTTGTGTGAACTAATATAAATTCAAAGTAAACATCATTACATAAAAGGGTACGGTCTTTTTTATTTAAGTTTTATTCATTTCAAATGGGCCGGATCCGGCCCGCGGACCGTGGTTTGCCCATGGCTGGACTAGAACATGGCAAGGTGCTTGTCATTAGAACAGACCCACTTTCAAGTCTCCAGGTCAATCCATCATTTAAAAGGCAGGGCTTGAGGAAGACTAATCAAGGGGAAACGAGAAGAACCAGGAAGGCCTGGTATCCATAAAGCCAAGAAAATGATAGAATCTGCTGCAAAGTGGACAGGTAAGACAGGTAAGTGGACAGGGTCATGAAGAAATGGGCTTTCCAGGAGCTTGGCTGTGAGGGAGAGAATTTTTTATTTTAAGAAGGGAGAGACTTGGTCATGGTTCTAGGCTGCAGGGGAAAGTTCAGAAGTGGGGAGAAGGAAAATCAGAGAGCAAAGGCCCAAGAGTGGTTGGATCTAGAGTCCCAGAGGAAGTTCTGGAAGGAGAAAATGCAGCTTCTCCTTTGAAAACTGAGGAGAGGGCTGGAAAGTGAGTTCGACTGTAGAACAGCTTGAAGTTTTAGGGTGGAAGTTGAGAGAGTTCATGAAATAAAAGCTGCTATGAACTAAATGTTTGTGACCCTCAAAAATTCATATATTGAAGCCCTAACCCCCAATGTGTTTCTATGTGGAGGTGGGGCCTTTGGGAGGTAATTAGGTTTAGATGAAGTCATGAGGCTAGAGCCCCCATGATGGGATTAGCATCTTTACATGAACAGAAAGAGACCAGAGCCATCTGAAAACCAGGAAGAGGTCTCTCACCAAATATGGAATACAAAACACCTTGATCTTGGACTTCTCAACCTCCAGAAATGTGAGAAATAAATGTCTGTTGTTTAAGCCACCCAGTCTGTGATATTTTGTTATAGCGGTCCAAATGGAATAAAACAGAAGCCTTGGTCATTTGCTGAGAGAAGTGTGATCATGGTTGGGGAGGGGTCAGGTCAGTGTAGTGGTAAAGGTGGCAGCTGGGAGAAACAGGGGAGGAAAGAGCCTGTGAAAGGATGATTGTGCTGAGAGCCCAGCTGAGGTCAGAAGACACAGGTTGCTGAACCCAAACCACAAGAGTGTGAATTCCTCTGGCCACATTCAGGAGCCCTCACATAGGCAGAAAGAAGGAAAATACAATTAACCCTTGAACAACATGGAGATTAGGAGTGCTGATCACCTTTGCAATTGGAAATCTAAGTATAACTTTTGAATCCCCAAAACTTAGTTTTCCCTTGGTGTCTACAGGGGATTGGTTCCAGAATCCCTGCAGATAACAAAATCTATGGATGCTCAAGTCCTCTAAATAAAATGGCATAGATCAATGCATACAGTCAGCGCTCTGCATTAAGAGACTCCCAACCACTAATTGAAAATAGTACAGGTATTTATTGGGAAAAAATCTGCATGTAAATGGACCCACACAATTAAAACCCATGATGTCCAAGGGTCAACTATAATTGGGTTGATCCATAGAAAAGGGTTTGTGGGACTGACACAGTGAAAAAAAGGGAATGAGAAGATTGAGGTTGATGGTAACAGAGTGACAGAAGAGTTGTGTCCTGGGATCCAGCCATGATGTCAGCGATGGGCTAAAAGATAAGAGTGGAGATCAATGGCAGATGGACTGGGAAAAAATGGCTGATGGAGCTGGAAGAATAAGGGATAGGTGTGAGATTAGATACATAGATAAACAGAGGCAGAATAAGTCTGGGTTGCTAAAGTGGAATTGAGTTGAAGATTTTTGATAAGACATTATCAAATAATGCTTTTAGAAGATTAATTTTCTTTTTCTGGAGGAAAATAGAGGTCAGCATATCACTTAGAAGGCTAATGTAATGGTTCAGATCAGGATGCATACTGCAGCTTCACTCCTGTGCCCACAGCAATCACCACTTATGGACAACCATGCTCTCCTCCTAAACTCAAAATTATTTCAACATAGGACTCCAGGAGCCACTACCAATTATTTGGAATTGGCCCATGAGGTGGAATCATCTTCTAGTTCTGGTCCAGATGAAAAGTAAGAAGCCTTACTTAGGTTTTTAGCAGCAGAGATGAAGTGACAGAAGGAGAAAGGACATCTCACAACCCAGCCTCAGTTCGTTGGTTCTCAGAACCCCGAGAGAGCCAAGGGACAACCCCAGAACTCAAAATTTCCCTGAGGATACCCATAAGCCCAGCTTCTACTAAAGCCCCAGCGCTCACCTGGACTGTTCCTCATTGTCCCAGATGGAAATCCCAGGTTGGTTAGTTTGGGTTGGCTTCTAGAGGTGGAGGATGAGGCAAACCACAGGTCTCATGACTAAATGAACTTTCACATAAGAACAGAGGTGTGTTTCTGGCCCCAGCTTGGTAGAAGCTCATGGGAGGATGCAGTTAATTCTTTTTAGTCACTCTGAGTCTAAGTGACCTAAAAGCTAGACCCAGCCTGAGGCTACTAGAACCAGAACCAGCTGTGGGCCCACCTCTGAGAAACACCTTTCATGTTAATCTTTTTTTCTTTTGAGTTGAGAGTCTTACTTTCTTCCTCTCTGCTGGAACTCCTTGCTTTTAGGCCTTTGTTTTGTTCAGCCATTGCAAAACTCATCTCTGATTACACAATATGGGCAATGTGCAATGCAGTGATCTGATGACAGTGCCGGAGACTATGGAATCCCATTAAGCCCAGTGGTGGTAATACATCAGATATTCATATAAGTAATTAGCAATACTAATCCCTGACTTGTCACCACAACTTCCTTTAGACTGTTATTAATATTAAACAGGATCAGTCATCTATATGCCATCCTGGTCTTCACTTGTTAGGACTTTTTGTGGTTGTTGTTGTTGTTGTTACATAAGAAAATGTCTTCAGTGTGAAGGCCTTAGGGACTTTTTTTCCTGTTTGTCTCTTTGTTCACGTTTGTTTGTTTCTCTTTAGGCACTTATGAGAACCAAGGCTGGATATAGAGGAAAACCTCTGCATGTTCAGTGATCTGAAAGGGACTGACCTTTATAAGTTTACAAACTGTTTAGGGAGGCAACATCAATTCACTTGTATAATTAATTTCTTTTGCTCATGTAGACTTGCACATCTATTGACATGAACTTAGTCCATTGGAATACAATGGCAATCAAATTAACCATATGGTGATTCAAACAAGTCAAGAAAATGACCCTCAGCAAATTGTATATAACTAAAATATATAGATGTGTAAAGGCTTATTGAAAAAGTTAACAAAGGAAAGTAAACACTGCGATTGTGTGTGTGTGTGTGTGTGTGTGATGAGAAAGAGAGAGAGAGGTGACCACAGACCTCTCTGCCTCTCTAGGCAGAACAAGAGAGGGTGAGAGAGTAAAACAATCTTGATTGGGAAGGTGGAGGTGTGACCTGAAATACCTGTGACCAGATGCATATCTGGCAGGTTTGAAGCCCGAGAATAACACATGCCACATGTTACCAATCGCCCTGGCATTTCCTCCAGGCTGAGCTGTGTTAGCATTCAGCCTTCCACACTTTCAGGTGCAGTCTCTTTGGGCGAGGACTAAAAATATAACAATGTCCCTGTCATTTCAGATAGCAGTAGAAATCTAGTAATTGATTTAAAAACAAGTCAATATTCAAGATACATACAAAAATTTCTAAAACTGTAGGTCACATTCCAAACAGGGAGTTAATGGCTATCTGAGAGCTTCCTGTCCTACACCCTCTCAGTTTAGCAGAAGGATCCTTCCTTAGCTAATAGGCATCAATTGAGCACCTGTTGATGAATAAGAAGGCTACACAGATTAAGACAAGCTGACCTTTATAAGTTTACAAACTGTTTAGGGAGGCAACATTAACACATGTTGGGCAGTAGGAGCCTGCTACTTATAGACTTACTATATAGAGACTTAGTACGTTTGTGTCCCCCAGAATTTAAGTGTTGAAACCTAATCCTTAATATAATGGCATTCAGAGGCAGGGCTTATGGAAGGTGATTAGGTCATGAGGGTGAGGCCCTCATGAATAGGATTAGTGCCCTTATAAAAGAGGCCCCAGAGAGTTCCCTCACCCCTTCTGCATATGAGGACATAGTGAGAGACAGCCAGCTAGGAAGTGGGCTCTCACCTGACACCAAATCAGCCAGCACCCTGATCTTGGATTTCACAGCCTCTACAAATATGAGAATAAATTTCTGTGGTTAATAAGGCAACTCGTCTATAATATTTTGTTACAGCAGCTGAATGAACTAAGACAGCACCTCTGTAAATCTATCCACAGTTACCAAAGAGCATGCCAGATGTACTAGAAGGAAACCTGTGAAGTCCAGAGTAAAATTAAAAAATATTTTTTCCAAGGAGATGAGCTATGAACTGATTCTAAAAGCAAAATAATCCATTGTTTTGGCTTTTAAAGTAAGCTTTGGGATTTTTAATTGCAAAACTAATAACTTTATTTTAGAAAATACAGGTTAGATAAAAACAAGTTTAAACGCACCAACTTTCCCACTACCAAGACCTAACTGCTGGAGCATCACCCTGGACCCCAGACCCCTTCAATCCTCTTCTCCCTTTCTATCACTCTGGTCTGATTTACTTCATACCTAGAAAGCGTCCTATTAGATTTCATTTCACAAAAAGTTTTTATCAGTAAAGCAAGTTTAAAATGAATGCTAACTCCCAGGCCAGCTAACTTTCCCTGAATCCTGCTTCCTGAATCCCTTACTTTCTGATCAGCCCCCTTATCTTAGCCATTCATGCCCTTCTGCTTCTGGACACAAGCTATCCCATCACCCTCCTATAAGATCCTGTTTCTAGGATACAATGTACACATTCCTACTCCCCATCTTTTGCTCACACCTTTCCACCACAGTATGGGCCCATCTCTTCTCTTCAAATATTTGCATTCAAACTCTATAACTCAAGTTTGTCTGGCTTATTGGCCTATGAATCACAGCAGTAGCAGCACCTTACATTGCCCCATCTCAGTGACCTAAGACCTCCAGGGTCCCTCAAAGCCACACCAGAAATTTCAGCCCAGTCAGCATTTGACATGTACTCACAACATGCCACGAATACGTGACCCTTGCCATGTTTTTCATTTCCTGCTCCAGTCACCCGTATGCCCCACATTTATGCTTCTATCTGAGACTGCCACTTCTGCCCATGCCCTCCATGGGGACTGTGAAGTTCTTTCTCCTGACCCCAAGACTCAGCCCTCAGGTGCCAGCACTGAGGCCCCCGGAGTCCACAAACATAGGTGTTAGGCCCACCTCTATCACCTGAACTTCAAGGGACACTGCTCTCAATCTTGTGACTCAGATTCTTCCTAAAAAATCATCCCTTTGGGCACCTTCCCTCTTTCACAGGCTCAGACTGAGTCCTTCTCAGTCTTCTAACCTGATTACTGACAGAGGCACCCCTGACAATTTACTCAGGCGAGTGGACATCTGAGAGCTGTTTGCCCAGCTGACTCATCAGATGTGCTTGGAAATATTCTAATCTTGTTGGTGTAGAGTTTAGGTTCAAACAAGTTATCCCACTTGTTCCCTTTAAGATCCTTCATAAAGTCTTCTCTATTTCAGGCCAAATAAACCCACAGGCTTCTGTAGCAGTCATGGTTGTACAATGAGTTTGGTAATTAACCATGTATTTCCTTGGGACAACTCTTGTATTCTCTCATCAAATTGGTGTTAAAATTTTCATTGTACTAGAAAAAAATATATTTGAAAGGAATATCTTTCTGATTCTGAGGAAAGAATGGAAAATCAAGAAAGATACTTCCTTTCCCTATCAATCCTTAAGAAATAGCTTGAATAATTAAAAAGTATCATCAGTGCTTCATCATTGATGTAAAGACAATGGTTTTCACTACTTTGTATTTGTAACTATTCTGTATTTGTGCATGATATTCAGCAGGCACTCAAACACCAATTGGTTCTTTCATTTTGGGGAGGTTTAGGTCATTATTTGTACCTGAAGATAGTAGGGAGAGGAAGACAAGGCAGAGTAAAGCAGGACAGAAGAAATTATACAAAATAAAAGTGTCCAGAAAGAATAACCATGGAAAAATATTTACCAATTTGGTGATAGAGTAAAAGATTCCTAAAGTAATCTCCCATTTTATAGGCATTGCTTCAAATACACATATCTCATTCACCTATTCAACAAATACATATTAAGCATTTACTGTGTATCTAACAAAACAGACAACATCCCTTCCAGTTTGGTGTAGAGAAACATAGTCTAAAGTATTAGATCATTTTAGACTATGATAAGTACCATAAAGGAAATAAACAGAATGGGGAATAAAAATGCAGTTCCTTTGGATTAAATGGCCAAGGAAGCCTTTCTGAAGGGGTGATATTTGAGCTGAAACAGATGGATAACAAGGCCCAACTACACACAGAGTCAGGAAAAGAATGTTCAGAGAACCACCACATGCAATCCTATAGGTTATACATGGCCAACAATGATGCTTCATAGAGTTGTGTGGTGCGGTAGTGCAGAATATTCCAGGCATGTGTAAGTCGATTCACTTGTATAATTAATTTCTTTTGCTCATGTAGACTTGCACATCTATTGACATGAACTTAGTCCATTGGAATACAATGGCAATCAAATTAACCATGTGGTGATTCAAACAAGTCAAGAAAATTGCCCTCAGCAAATTGTAGGCTGCAGTTGATTGTTCACTTTATGACAACACTAGAGGCCGGTTGCAGGAAGATTCCTGCAAGAATAGGGTTTCCTTCGGCTGGAGCGAAGCAGAGAAGGGAGCGAAACCCACTGAGGCGGGCTTTGCTCCCACCTCCGCCGCCCGGCTTGCTTCCCTCCTGCCTCCGCCACCTTGGCTCCACTCCTGTCTCCGCCGCCTCTGCTTTGCTCCCTTCTGCAGCACTTCGCTTCCTTCTACGTTGTCTTCAGTCTTCACTCCCAGCAGTATATGCAAATTAACCGCCATCTTGGTTGGGTTAATTTGCATATAGTCGCTCTGATTGGCTGGTGGGTGTAGCGAAGGTACAGTCAATTAACATCTTTGTCTTTTATTAGTGTAGATGTTCTTCACTTCTGGGGACATGGGAAATGAGTCTAGAAATTGACATACGTTAAGTGGAAAAAGCTTGAGATTATTTTTGGAACCAATCCATGTCTATTTCTATAGTCATAATGCCAGGAAAAGGAAATATGAGTAATTGCTGTCCAAGCCTATAGCCAACTTTCATGGTGATAAATCTTCCCTCTTCAGGAATGATCAAATGTGGAGTTTTGAAAATAGCTTTTATAATTACAGACTATACTATTAAAGGTCTGCCACTCAACCATTTGACTCCATGGCCATGGTGATATCCCATAATGACAGGTTAATGGATTTCACGCTTAATAAAAACAAAAGGGAAGGGGTCATTAGACTGCTGGTAAAGTCAACACTGTAATTCTCTGCTGGCTACAAATCCCCTATTAAACTGACTTCAAAATCAAATGCATAGAGAACCTTTAAACTTCCAAACTGGTTTAATGGCTTTCACAGTAAGTGACAATTGACACTTGAGGCAAGGGAGACTTAATCAGAG